GCCGGGTTCTCACCGGACCAGGCTCTCACATCACCAAGCGCGAGGGGGGGAGGGGATTTGGTCAGGCAATACCTTTGATCAGCACGCAGGAACATGGCTGTGCACGATAGCTGTTGTTTGAGTGAGGTCGACGGGGGCACGAGATATCGCGTTGGACCCCACCCACCCAGCACCTATCCACCGCCCCCCTGGTTGGCGACGAACAGGTGATCAACTTAGCTGGCGACGATGGGATATCTCCGGCCGGTGCGGCGGCGGTACCCCAGGGGCAGGCAGCAGTGGCCGGTCGAGCTGCTGGTGTCTCCCCAGCGATGGCGGGCGCAAGCGGAGGAGGCGCCGCCCCTCACCCCGTAGCTACGCGCCCGCGGGGGGGGAAAGGACTGAACTACCTCCAGCAGCGCGCGGAGCCGGTGCGTTGTAGTTTTCGCGCCATCTTTTGGGCAGCATTCTACATCAGCCGTGCTTCGCCTCTCGCTCTCTTGTCTCTTCGTCCCTCTATCTGTCTCTCTCTCCCTGTCTGTCTGTCTTTCTGTCTCTCTTCCTGCTACCTCTTGGCGTGTCAACCGCCGCTTGATGTTTGGTTTGACTCTGATACTTGTGAGTCGGTGCGAATTTGTTGTTTTGCTCGCGATTCCCATGTCCCTGGTCAGGCAAGAGCTGCGCAGCCGGCCGTGGCCGCGAGTATGCCGCAACAGGCGCAACCACAACAGGCCGCTCTTCAAGTGGCACAGCAGCAGCAACAGCAGCAGCAACAGCAGCAGCAACAGCAGCAGCAGCAGCAGCAGCAACAGCAGCAGCAGCAGCAGCAGTTGCAAGCAGCGCCAGCCCAACACGCTGCGGGTGCTGTTCCACAGCAAGGGGTTCAGCAGCCTAATGTTCATCAGCAGCAGTCTCTGCAACAGCAGCAGACACTGCAGCAGCAGGCACAGCAGGCACTGCAGCAGCAGCGGGCAATGCAGCAGCAGACTCTGCAGCAACAGCAGCAGGTTTTGCAGCAACAGCAGAGAAGTCACCAGCTTGCCTTACATGCCATGCACCAGCAGCGCCACCAGCAAGCCCAGGTTTTGTCCCAGCAGCAGGCGGTAGCGCAAGCACAGGTCCATGCGCTAGCACGCCAGCATTCTCAGCAGCAGCACATTCAGCAGCAGCAGCAGCAGCAGCAGCAGCAGCAGCAGCAGCAGCAGCAGCAGGGAGTCGGGGTTGCCCAAGCCGCCGTCGCCGAACCAGTAGCCCGAGTGACTCAAAGCCCAGGCGGAGCAGCAGTGTTAGGCGTCCGTCAAGCAGGAGTGGTGACACCAGCAGGGCAAACGGCCCCCAGCCAGTACGTTCGAGCGTCGGAAGGGGCGGTTGCTTGGGCGGCGGCGCAGCACGTGCCGCAAGTAGCAGCCCAGCAGCAAGCTGCTGCTGCTGCTGCCGCTACTGCTGCTGCCGCCGCCGCCGTATCTGCACCCGCTGCTGCTGTTGCTGCTTCAACCGCTACTACCGCTCAAGGACAAGCAGCAAGGGGTCAAGTTTCTGCTGCGACCCCCCAGGCATCGCCGGCCTTCGCCCACACTTTAGCCGTGCAGCATGCCCAAGCTCAGGCACAGCAGCAGCAGCAGCAGTTTACTCAGGCCCAAGCTGCTGCGACTCAGCAACAACAGGCTGCGACCGCTCAGCAGCAACAGCAGGTTGCCGCACATTTGGCCCACCAGCAGAAGCTGCAGCTGCAGCTTCAGCAGCAACAGCAGCAGCAGCTACAGCAACAGCAGCAGCTACAGCAGCAGCAACAGCAGCAGCAGCAACAGCAACAGCAACAGCAGCAGCAGTCATACACCGCCCAAGCTCAGCAGGTACAAGCGGCAAAAGCCGAGGAAGAGCGAAAGAGGACGCTTGCGGCAGCGGCGCAGGCCCAACTCGACGCCACGAAGCGACAAGTCGCCCTGATGGAGCAGTCCCATCACTCTCAGCGGAATCAGCCAGTCCATCAGCAGAACAAGAAGGAAGCGGTGGCAACCCCGCAAACTCAACAACAGCAGCAGCAGCCGCAGCAAGAACAGCAGCAACAGCAGTGGAGAGGTAGAGTACGCACGTCTAATGTGCCTTATAGCGGCGTTTGCTAGGAGAAATGTCTTTGCGTTGGCATTGTCGGTGGAGGGTGGGGGGGGGTGATGTACCCTCACCTTCCTGTTTAGCCAACGGAAACCCGATCAAAAGGTGTTCGGTCCTGGCTCTGCAGTAGCTAAGCAAGGATCTTCGGCCTTGCAAAAATGTCTGCCTGAAACGAACGGCAACCTCCCCCCGCCACGCACACTCCCCTAGCCGCGCCTGTGCTGCTTCGAAAGGAACGGTGTTGTAATTTTTTAGCCCCAGGGTGAAACCTCGGCAACTCGTCACATACATATGTCAGAGCCAACCGTGTCGTGTATGGTCGTGTATCTGTTGCTCTGGCGTCTGACACGCGTTGAAAGACGATAGCGGCGGGACTCCGCCACGACCGATGATGCCCCGCCGCTCATCGTCCTCTCTAGCGCTGTGTCGCTACCGCGACCATCATCGTGGCAAACACGCGACAGGACCTTTTGGTGTCAGATGGTGCTTGATTCCGCACATGTATGAGCGCCCGCACGCCTTCGATGGTGATGGTGGTGGCTTGTTGGTTCTCTACCGGCCGTGTACGCACCCACCACGCACCGTTTGTCGGTCCTCTACGAGCCGTGTACGCACCCAACACGCGCCGAGAAAAATCCCGCGTGTGTCCGCGTCCCCCGCCGGCGCGGTAGATGGCGTAACCGCGCGCTGTCGCCGCTGGTTTTGTTGATCCCCCGCCGGCCCGTGTACATACCCAGGCACCGAAAAAAATCAAAGTGAAACACCCAATTATCTATATGCCACCCGAACGTGCTATATATGCTAGGCATGTAAACCTACCCTTGTGTCTCCGCTTCTCGCCCTGCCGGCCCGGCAGATAGCGTTGCCTCCGCGACGGCTGCCGGGGGCGGTAGCGGGGCGGCGAAGTCGATGGCCGCGATGAAGCCGCTGCACCCGGTCGTGGTTCCCCCGGTGGAGCCCGAGCCGAAAGAAGCGAAGCTGGTCGGGCCGATGGTGAGAGAATGTGATGTTTTTCTGCTGCTGCTGCTGCTGCTGCTGCTGCTGCTGCTGCTGCTGTTGCGGTCGCTTTGTTGTTTCCAGCTGGTTTTCGACCACAGACAGGAAGTGTTGGTTTCTTCTCAGATTTGCCCCACGTTGAAGCGGCTCGTACTGACTCGTGCGTTATCCCTCGAAATTCGTGGCCAATAATTACCTGCTTTAAATATAGACAGTTTTCGTCACTGTGTTTCGTCGGGTCCGTGGTATGCAGTTGAGTTTTCGGCGCACTCCTGTTTATCGTCCCGTCGAGATATCGTTTGTTTTCTTTTCTTTTTTTTCATCAGAATGGCATGCGATTGCCAGCGTTGATGAAGGAGGTGGACCCGGCCTACTCGCTACACCCCGATACGGAAGAGGTGTGTCAGTAACGCTTATTGTCTGATACATATGCTCTAGTCTATCAGCGTTTATATGAGGATGTATGTGTGTGGCACAAAGGCCACGTTAGCGTACCTGCTGCATAGCCTGGTATATCGGCGCATGCATGTATGCGTGTGTGGTACAAACGCCTTGTTAACGTAGAATCTGGTGAGCCTGCTGCGGTTGGTTAACAACGGCCTGGAGAATTATACCCCAAGCTTTTTTTGACCTGTTATGGCATTGAAGGGTTGGTATCTGCTTCTTCGTGACTGGAGCTCCGGAGTGAGTTCTCGATGTCTCGATAGGCTCAACATCGACCTGTTTCAAGCCGCTAGGATTTTTGGGAAATGAAGGCGTGTTTGTCTGCCCGCCTGATCCGGCCTTCCGAGTGGGTCCTTGGTGTCCGGAATTACTCTGAATATCAACCTGTTTCCAGCTGATTGCATGCAGGGCCTTTAACTGCTTCCTAGTGCGAGTTCCTTTGTACGTCTGCCGTCTGTCACCGATTGTTTACGTCTGCTGTCTGGTACGTTGTTTGCCGGGCGTTTTTACTGCTTCCTGCATGTATTATCATTTTGTCCGTGCACTTGCCACCTTTTACCGGTTTTTTTATAGACCTGCTTTTTGTGTCTTTTTCTTTTTATTGTTTTTGCCCTTGCTTTCCTGCCTGCTCTCTTGTCTCTGACTCTGGCCCGCTTGGCCTCCGGCCCGCGCAGCTGCTGCTGGCACTTGCCCAAGACCACATAGAGGGGGTGGCGGCCGCGGCGGTTGAGCTCGCTCAGCACCGAAATTCGGACACTGTCGAGCTACAGGACCTCCAGTTGTGTTTGGGTGAGACAGAACAGGCAGGTTAGACACAACACAGGTTCGGACATGGTCAAGCGCGTTGTCATTTCCAGCCTCCAGTACGCTTCATGTCGCCTTGAAGACTGCAATACTTTCGTTTCGTTTCACGTAAAATAATGAAGAAAAATGTCGCCCTTTTTTTTCGGTGGGTGCTACATCAATACCAAGACCCCCCGGCGGAAAACTTCACATCTGTAGTTCATTTTCAACTTGTTTTAGAGCAAGCCATTTTTTTTTTTCGACCACAGAGAAAGACTGGGACATGCCATGGCTGGGCATCGGAGCCCGGAAGATGGCGGGCGCCGAGAGAGAGACGAAAGTCGGCCGGGCAAGGCTCAACACGGCCATCGCAGCAGAGAGGGTGAGGAAAATGCAGAGCGAAGTTTTGATGTTTACCCGCTGGCTGGCATCACTGATCCTGTAGCGCATGTACAGGCTTTGCACAGGCTGGAAATAATAAGTCCATTCATTTGTTCGGTGGGCTGTTGTGAAGACGTGCTGCTGTGAAGACTTCGACACATCTCGTCGATTTGGGCTTACTATTTTCTTGTACGGATAGCACGTGTTGTGCGTGTGGGTTCTAATCTTCTAATATTGAAGTTTACTCCCTTGTGTGCGGCTTCCCTAGCCGGGACTGTGTAGTGCGGAATTCAAGTTTGGTCGTTTTGTGGGTATACCCATAACCCGTGTAGACGATGCAGCTGCAATGCAGTCTATTGTGGAGGTTACGGTGGGGGGTAGGACCAGGTATATCTTATTGATACTCGTACGTTAAGGCTCGAACCGCGCGTTGATACAGGAAATACTAGATGGAACGTGTGGAGGGGGCAAGAGGGGGGGGGGGGGGGGGGGGGGG